TCTCTCTCCTCTCTCTCTCCTCTCTCTCTCCTCTCTCCTCTCTGCTCTCTCCTCTCTGCTCTCTCCTCTCTGCTCTCTCCTCTCTGCTCTCTCCTCTCTGCTCTCTGCTCTCTGGCGCAACGCCACGGGTGGGGCGCACCAGTGAGCGCCACCAGCCAATCTTGTTTTAAAAGTGACAATAGCTGCCTCTTGGAACCCAACTTCGAACGTTCTAGCTACCATGTATCGAGTATAGGTCTGGGAAACATAAATATGTAGGACAACGTCCAAGAATAAACAACACCATATAAAACATTTCTCGTGACTTAACCTGATTTTAAGGGCCTATGGTGCACCTTCTCCGAGACATGCCTAGTAGTAAAATGTGTTACAGCATATCATATGTTGAGTGTTGCAGGTGTATCTGTAGATTTTCTTTCCACCTTTTTAAAGTATAAATTTTTCGACTTCAATCTGTTTGATGTTCCTCTAATGGGTAATTCCCTTTCCAACAAGAACACGGAAGGTTTGTGTCGATGTCCTATAAAATAATCACATTTCCCTACCAAAATAACTGTAAAATATGTATGTGTACTCTGAAGTAAACAAAGTGGTATTTGAAGGGCACGAGCTGGAAGGAAATGGGAACATTGTTCTCCAATCGGAAGATCCTGTACCAAAAAATTAAATTGTAACGAAGCTCCCGATTGGATGACAGTGTCCTCCTCTCCGTCCTGCTCGTGACCATGCAAAACCGCTGTTTTTTAATCGTAGAAAAGTGAGAGAGAAGTATAGAGGGAGAGGATATTTCTTGGAATCACGACACCGCTGTGACCCTTTCCGCGAACGGAATCTGTAGCCCCTCTCCCGCGAGGAGTGTTGTGAGCGGGAAGTGGTGTGCCTGGTGCAGGGCCCGGAGGCGCTGACGGAGGAGCTGCTGGCGGCGCTGCGCACGCGGGGCCGCATCTACGTGGTGGCGGGCGCCGCCGAAGGCCGCCTGGTGATCCGCTTCTGCATCTGCTCGCGCCTCACGCGGGCGGCGGACGTCGACTTCGCCTGGGAGGAGATCCGCCAGCAGGCGGAGGCGGTGCTGCGCGCGCACGGGCTCGCCAACGGCGTCACCGACGACCACACCGCCGCTGACGTCAACGGCCAAGTGAACAGGCTCACCAAGGGGATCGTGAACGGCGTCACCGTCACCAACGGCTTTACCAAAAGTGACGCCAACGGCGCAGCTCACGGTTTCACCACCAGTGACTCCGATGCTGACGGTGCCGAGCCCGAAATCCCGATGGTGGCTGATATGGTGACGTCCCAGCCACCGCTGCCGTCTGCAGAATGCAAGGCCGTCTAAGTCGGTGTTTCAGTTTACAAAAAAATGTGTTTTACTGCAGCTTGTAGTGTGGAACGCGTCCCTAGTTGTCAACCGTACTTACTGACATCGCTAGTGGAAGTCGATAACAGATTATAGTTTATATATTAGGTATAAAAGGTAGCCTAGTTCAAAAATAATATTCATAAGTGACCAAAATGTAGCTTCGATGAATAAAATTCGTTCATTCAATAAATTTCTATTGTAGTTGATGCAGTAGGAAAAACTGAAGTGCATAATGTATAAAAATTAACATTTAGATTTTGTTTTGCCCCAGAATGTATCATTTTATGACCATAGGTCACAAAGTGTCTTAATGGCATTGCAGGTCCTAAACAAGCAGTATACTGAGGCTTCACAAATGAAGATTCAAAAATGACAAAGAATTTTTTTCTAGTATTATTACTATATTCAACATTGGTTTTGTAAATAATAATATTATTAACAGAATTAATTTCCATTATTAAATTAAATTAAATATTAAAAAATATTGTTTTGTTCAAAGTCTTTTAAAATCCTAAAATTCCTGATGTAACTAACATGTCCATGTCTCAAAACAGCTCGCTGTGTCGAAAATTCAGAAAGAGTATTTTTCATCAAAATAGAGAACTTCATTCATTTTCATTATTTATCAATATCTGATAAGTTTTGTTTTCATATGAGATAAATCTCCAGTCTGCACTTCACAATAATTTTAATGGAAATGGTGTCTTAAGGCTTACTATCACAACCAAATTCCGCGTGTGCCAATAATTGGCAAATAAGATGTATTTTTTCGTATTTATTTAATGTCAAAAATACTTAAAAACTGTGTGGCATATGGGGAAAAGCGTAACAAGGCACTGAGTGTCATAAATTATTATACGAAGAATATTCAGTAGAATTTTGGCAAAAATAATAAATACATAATCGAAAGAAAATCCTGTTTATATTTAAATCTGAAGTGGGATTTAGTCCTTACAGTAAGAACTGTTAAGAAAACCATTTCTTTGTGATTTTGAAATTGATTATACTAGCCTACAAATATACTTTTTTTCTGCAACAAGAACAAAACACACTTCTAAAAGATTCTTCTTTCTAAAATATAATTTGCCTCTTAATTCAGATCTAATTTCAGAATTTCTGTATCGGTCTGTTTCCATGTGATGATGTTTTTTGTAATTGACTATGTATCCTTGTATTATGTGTCCCTGGCAAAATGACACACTCTAAAACCAATACATTCAGGGAGCTTGGAATGTTTCACAGGGGGCTTGAAATGTTGGGTCAGCATGGATATCTCCTCATGTCTTCTGAATATTCGTTACTGTAGCATCATCTTCATTCACTGTCACGTTCTCCTGAGGTAGTGGTACCGACAATTCTTCACTGAGACATTTAAGCCTTACAGCAAATGGTAAATAAGGATATTGCACAGATTTCTTCGTTTTTGAGGTGATTCCAGCTATATGCGTCCGGCAGAAATAAGTCTGTTTTGTGATCCGCTAGTTCCCTCAAATCACGGGAACAGCATAGGGGTATGTAAGAATGTGTTGTGAACCATCATGTCAGGAGAGTAACACATGACACACTAAAAAATTTCACATGACTTTTTTTAAGAAAAATATTAAAAAAGTAAAATATCGTAACCCAGACGAGAGAACACAGATATTAGCTGTGGTCGTGCCATTACGGGGTCCAGAAACCAGGGAGATGACGCAATTTTGCCAAACGATTTTGTAACAAGGCCAAGACTTTTTAGTAAATGGCCATTAGAATCAATTCAACTCTCAAAAATAGTGTACTTACCTGAATGCATGTTGATTAAATATGCGTGAATGAGTGAATGTTATTTGGATTTGTTTTCTTTCAAAGTATGTTGTGTTGGTATATTCGAAGGGTAAATTTATCTATCGTGTTATGTTTTGTATAGGAGAAAGCTGGTGTATGTACGGCAGGGAGCAGAATTCGCCGAGTAGCATCTCGATATATTGTTTACGAATAAATAATTTTCTCATTAAGTAATAGTGTAATGTTGCGCAAGCTTCTAGAAACATTGCGAGAAAGTAGCACCACTAGTTTAGAATTGCACGTAATATTACGCGAAAACTACTAATTTTTTTTAAAAAATGTACATGAAACAACAAATTATAGGCAACAAATTTTATTTTAAGGAAAAAGATGTTTAATTTTGTAGTTGTAGGAAGACCCCCAAAAAAATCATACTTTTGAAATTATCGTAAATTAGTGATAACCGTGAAAATTGGACTTGTATCACCTTTATAAGTGTATTTTACTCTATTCTTACAACAAAATTTAAGGACAAAATTTGGCACCATTTTTGAGAAAATTTTGAAAATGTCTCAGGGGCTTGTGTAAAGTACCTCCAAAAGCAAATGAATGATTTTCAAAATCGCAGAGCTTCGACTCAGGCCAAATGGACAGCGGTTTTCTCAATTAGGAAAAATCCTATGTATAGTTTAGGTGCTAGTGTTGTTCACAGACGGATGTTTTGCCGTTAATTACTTTTTGGGCATAAAGGACACACAAAACAGGAATTCTGGCTACACCACGTTTTAGAGGAATTTTTTCCCCCTAAATTTATCAAGTGGGTTTATCCACCTTTTTCTTATCAGGGCCCGGCAATGCCCCTTTTTGTCGAAAATCCGTTGTTTTTTCGCACATTACATAACTTTGCATATACTACGTATATTACTCTATATATACGTATGTATACAAGAAAGTAAAAATACGTTAATACGGATGCAAATTTAATTAAATATGCCGCGCGGCAATTCACTCACACTCGACCTTACCTACATACTACATATATTTGGGTGGCTTTGGTTTCATTCCCGGCATACTAAGACGGCAGCAACCGCAAAAACACGGAAATTTCTGAGAATCTTCTTGTCGGAATCGAAAACATTATCAGCTGCCCACCCGGAGATCGAGACGTTTCGGATGACATCTCATACGTTTCGATTGGTGCATGGGAAATGGTCTAACCGTAAGTGACGCAACCGCACACACATAGTTATATAATATATAATATAGTTATATAATATATAATATAGCTACACACATAGTTATATATATATATATATATATATATATATATATATATATATATATATATATACACACATTATTAACTTGATTATCCACATTGGACCACTTGAGTCGTTTCACTTCACTTTTTACTGTTCATGGTCGACTGTCGAAGGTTTGTCACCTTGAAGTGAGGATAAATCCTCGAGTTACAATTCTGAATGTTATTCAGAAAGGTGATAATGAGAGATGGAGGATGATGAATGATAGGGGGTGAAAGGACGAACACAACACAACCATGCCCGAGGCGGGACTCGAACCCGCGATCTTTCGGTACGAGGTCGCTACGGCTTTACTGCCTTAGCGATCTCGGCCACCGGATCGGCTATATCTATATATGTATGTATATATGTATGTATGTATATATATATATATATATAGAGAGAGAGAGAGAGAGAGAGAGAGAGAGAGAGATAGTAGAGTTCGCCATACAAATTAAAACTCAGAGAATTAAAGTACGGAAAAAGAAACTGAAACCCTCATGG